GGTCTTCAGCTGCCTTGGCTACCGACTGCAGCGCATCGATAAGAATTTCACGTATACGTGCGGCAGCTTCTGGATCGTTTTTAATAGCAGTAAAGGTGTACGTTGGTCCCCACGGGGTTTCCCCAGCAGCTGCTGCAGCAGCAGCAGCTGTAGCTGCTGCAGCTGCAGCTCCAGCCCCCCCAGCACAGAGAAAATGATCTATTGATGCATGCGAAGAAACAAAGAGAGAAGCCAAGAACCTCCATGAAAGGCTTTCAGACCCAGTGCTAAAGACGCCACACAGCGGCAGCTGCTGCAGCTCCATCAGCCCCTCCTTCAGCTCGTATTCCCCGTCGTCTTCGGGCACCGCAACCTGCACTGTGAGGAAATCCACGGGGTTACCTGAGCCAGCACAGAGAAGTGTAAACAAAAACAAAGAAATATACCAAAAAAAAAACTAAGTTCAATAATGTCTGAACGCGCAAGCAACTGAACAATCAACTGCTTCTGAGGAACTCGGCGGTTTGCTGGCCGTCTACTCGAAGCAACAGCAGCAACAGCAGCAGCTGCTGCTGCTGCAGTTACAGCATAAGCAGCAACAGGAACAGGAGCAGCAGCTGCATATTTATACGTACCGCTGGTTTCCGATGTGAACTGCCATTCTTCGTCTCTGTCTGTTTTATCAGCTATTGTTTCTCTGTGTGTTTCTCTCTGCGGTGGTTGCAGGCGGGGGAAAGAAGAAGGACAGAATCCAAAGAAAGCAAGAAACTGCCAAGACTGAAGAGGCCCGTAGTGCACATACACCTGGGCCCCCGCGGGCACATCGCAGGCCAGGCGAAGGCAGAGGCTTTTGCCTTCTTCCTCAATTACAGGGGATAGCACTTGCGCATGAAAATCATGATTCAACAAATCCCCCAGAGGAACAAAAGAAGCACAACGAAGAGGAAGACGCACAAAATGTGCAGGGGCCGCTGCACAGCCGGGGGGCCCCTCAACGCCCTGGGGGCCCCCACTAAACCCCACAGGCAGCATCACACAACGGCAACCTTCTGCTGCACCCGTCTCAACGAGCTCTAGGAGAAACGGCACACGACGCTCCTCTGCCTCTTCTTCTTCTTCCTGTTCATTATCCCCCTCACTCTCCTCCCCTTTATGCACCCGCGAGGGCCCCCCTGAAGGTTCCCCAGTGGGGGCCACTGACGCCTCCTTGCTGCGGTACCCAGGGGGGTTGATGAGGGGAACCCCTGCAGGCTGAAACTCCTGAAGGGGCCCCAGGGGCCCCAGAGGAAGCGAAAAGGAACGGGACTCTAAGACGAGATGCGCCCACAGGAAGTCTGCGTAATTCAGCTGCGCTAAGAAGGCTCTGAGGAGATGTGTTCCTTCGCAAGAAGAAGAAACAGCAGGGGCCCCGCAGGCAGCACCAGCTTGAGCGGTTGCTGCTGCTGCTGCTGCTGATGCTGCTGCTGCCACCGCACCCGTCGTTGGCGTACAAGCCTCTAGAAGCACATGTGGTGGGGTTGTTGTTGCTGCTGCTGCTGCTGCTGCTCTGCAAGCGGAGATCACCCCGCCGCCCTGCTGCATTCCTTCAGGAGGAGGGAAGGTCTGCAGCAGCAGCGGCAGCAGCTGCTCCCGCATCATCTTGCATTTGGCCTCAGAGCGGCTAACGGCGCTCGCCAAGGCAGCATCTCCGAGAAACTCGACGAGCCCTTCAGAATCCATCAGCAGCAGTTCCTCCTTTTGAGCTGCTGCTGCTGCTGCTGCTGCTGCTGCTTCTGCTGCTGCTGGATCGCCGGCAGAAGACGCGCACACAGCCGCTGCTGTGGCTGAAGCGTCTGCCTCCCCGGCAGCAGGCAGGAAGCGCAGCACGGCCCTGCCCCCCTGCTCGCCATTAGTGAATGCAAGAAACAAAAGAAAGAGACACAAAACCACATCACTGTCAACAAGAGGCTGCACCTCCGTAGGCTCCTCAGGCTTGTTTTGCTGCTTCTGGGGGTTCTGGTGCTGCTGCTCCTGCTGCTGCTCCTGCTGCTGCTGCTGCGCTGCTGCTTCCTGCTGCAGCAGCCTTTCGGGGGGAAGCCCCAGCAGCAGTTGTGCGAGAGGGGAGAACGTGCGATGCGTCAGAGCCGTGTACACGTTGAGGAGGGCTGAGGTGGGAACACGCAGAAGCACTTCTCCTCTCTTGAGGTCTTCTGCTGCGACGAGGCCTCTCCCCTCCCTACTGAATGACGCCACCTGGACCTTGGGGTGTACGTACGCCTGAAGATCGGCGGCTGCATTGCGGAGAATTGCCGTCTGCCGCTCCTCTGGGGTGTATGGCCTCACTTGGTTTGCAGGGGCGCAAAACAAAGCGAACAGACGCTGCGCCTGAGACGCGTAAGCATCAGCAGCAGCAGCAGCGTGTGCTGCAGCTACTGCTGCTTCTGGCTCCCACTTTCCCTGTGCATTTCGCAGCAGCATCTCCGGCGGCCGCTGCATTGTTGTTAAGCAGTGACGGAAGCTGAAGGGCCCTGAGCAGCCAGCAAGGAGACCCCAGGCCTCTTCTCTGGTGCCTCGTGTTCTGCCTTTTGCCATTCGAAAACAGTCAACGCCTGTCTTCCTCTTTCTTGTTTCTGCTGCTGGAACGGCATTTTCAGCTGTTGCTGGAACTGTCGCACCACCGCTTGGTGTTGCCGCTGCTGCAGAACCAGTCGTACTTTTGTCTGCCACGGTTGGGGGTCGCTGCAGATGGGCCTGGAAGAAATACAATTCGCTGTCCGATGCTTGCTGCACGCGCAGGGCGTCAAGCCAGACGCCGCAGTTCACCCGGATGCAGTCGGCGCAGAGGCAGCAGCAGGTCCTTAGTAGCCTGAGCGGGCCCTTCTTTGCATTGCTGTTGGCATTTCCATCAGGAAGAGAAGCAGTAACTCCCGCCTGGGTGCTGCACGAAGGGGGAGCGTCGCACGTGAAAAGTTCAATGCCTAGAGACTGAAATAGAGTGTTACGGAACGCCTCGTGAGTCTCGTCTTCATCAGCAGCAGGAGGAGGCATTACCAAGTACCTGGAAGCCTCACAGTCGCTGCTGCTGCTACTGCTGCTGCTGCAGCTGCAGCGCAAGGAAACCATTGTGCTTTCGTTGGATCAGCACAGGTTGTTAAGGCGGCGCCGACAGCTGGAGTGGCGCCAACACGTTCTTTCTCCTCAGTTCTGTTGTTGCAGAGTTGAACAATCAAACGAAAAGTATTTATGAACCGTTTATTCCGGGATGTTTCCGCCGTAAATGTTACATATGCTGCGCTTGAAAGCCAGCATCGAGACGACGTGAGTGTATAGGAGCTGAAATCTGCCTATCCCATTGAAGAATTCAATTAGAACATCGACTGAAAATCATCATTCTTGAACTAGAGCTGCAAAAGAAGACAAAAGTTGAATACATCTTTGCGTTCTGGAGCCGCAGGACGGCCGACGGAGTGTCATCCTGACGCCGGGCAGCCCCCCACAAGGCAGCAGCCGTTTGTTGCGAAACCTTCCATATAAGAAGGAAAAAGTCTAAACTCCACATCTGACTAAGTTATTTCCGAAGATACAATGGCCCAATCAAGAGCTAGCCCTGTTACTGGCTCTTTAGCTTTTCCGTCGTTTCAACTTGTCGAGGAGCAGTGAGTATAGAAAAAGCGATTGTGCCACTCGATAGCTTCATGATTGTACAGTATACACTCCTGCCTGTTGAATACACTAATAATATTATTTTAACTATCCCTTCACTGCAACGCAATCTCACTAAAACACCAACAATACTATCGTGAGTGTTATGTTTTTTAGGATGTGGCAATGCAGCAGCATTGCCACATCCTAAAAAACATAACACTCCTACTACACTCCCGCTGTACTGGAACCTCGCTAGAAGACTAATAATACCCTCACCACTACACTTTCGCACTGCTGCAACATCGCTAGCACGAAAATAGCATTGCACTGCAACCTCACCAAAACACCTATACTATTGTCTATATCTATTAATCTGCTGCACCACGCACTTAACAAAACACTAAACACTCCGGCAACTCAGCGGAAGGCGGTAACACCCACTTTCTCTACTTAACTTTCTGCCTCGTGAAAGCTAGCCACTCGAAATCCTGCCTGGTGATGCATAAACAAAGCATCACTAAGTAGGGTAGAAGCACTGCAACAACTTGTGTGGGTTCTGCTATTACTTTATGTCGTATTTCAGAGTTGAATTTGAAGTATAGCAGTGAAGCCGCACAATTTCTAACAGATTGCCAAACATCAGTCCAACGTTCCGTNTGAATTTGAAGTATAGCAGTGAAGCCGCACAATTTCTAACAGATTGCCAAACATCAGTCCAACGTTCCGTTATTGAGGGCTCCACGGCAGGCCATGAAAATTTTCACGGGGCTGCTAGGTTCACAGTTCACTTGTAACTTAACATTGTCTGTACACCAGAAAATCTGGGAAGGAAGCCACGGGCAACAACGATTTCTTCGTTCATCCACGGGAGCTTCCAAGGCTGGCACGCATAGCCATATTGAATGCACGAACGCTGTGGCGTACAACAATACGGACAAAGAAGGATTCGCGGCGTATTGGTACAGCTCAAGCAAATATCTTGTCACTACTATGTGCACCTTCAAGCAGCAAAAACACCGCTCGGTGACCAGATGAATAAGACACAATACCAAGCTGATGCGATCCTTCAGGCCCTTCAGATGAAGCCCGTCTCTTTATAGAAGATATGATCAAATATATGTTCGCTGTATCTATTCACACATAATGGATACTGTATAGGAATACAACTGAACAGCATACAATCTTGTATGCTTCAAGTACATTGAAACACCCACATGAGACACACCAAACCACATCACTGTCAACGGTCACTGTGAACCAAAGGTACGCGACAGAAAGGCTTTAAGGTCGTTGAGCTCTTGCTGGTTGGCCGAATGGCCCAGGCCCGGGTACAACTTGAAAGTGATGTCCTCGT